TTTCCCTGGAAAGGTAGAAATGAAATCAATAACATTAGGAATGAAAAGCAACCTGACAGTCCTAAATGAATGTAAATAGTTTCAGCAACTATTAAGCAAGAAGAAAATGATCTATCAATTTACTGTTGCAAAAATAATTCCCAGTGATTTCCATGGGATATAAAATAATTTTCATAGGATGCATATGGGTATTGCTGCCTTAGCTACTTCATTTGCTTCTACCCCGAGGTATTTTTAAAAAGGTCAACGACTGTAGTTATATTTTAAAAGCTATTTCATACCTATGAGCAGAGTTTTCAGAATGCACTGTAACTTTTCTTCCTATCCAAAAGGTACTTTATCATTATCAATGGTATAGAATATAAAGAAGCCTAGGTTACAATGATTTCCTTGGTAAATATAGCAGTGACAAAACCAATGGGAAGAAAATGAATATACATTGAGATTTCTCCAAAGTCTCCTTAGTAGATTTACAGTAGTAAAATAAATAAACATTTTTCACAATTTTAAGATATTTTTGTTAAGAACTGGTTGACAGGCTGTTTGCATGAGCCTTAGGTAGTTATTTTAAATTTCAAAATTAACCCACACACATTTCATGGAGGAAATATAGAGCCTTCTAGCCTATTAGCCTTCTCCATGTGAGACTACTGAAGCCAACAATACAGGGAGCTATGGTGCAAACTTGATAATACCAGATGCCAGTGCTGAGTAACCGCTGAGTTGAGAAAATAATAATGTACCACTGCACTGCCAAGTAGCCATCAAGTCCTTTAATGAATCTTTGCAGAGACAGTGACTCAAACTGGATATTCATCTAGCCAGTATCTGCAGAGGGAATAAACTGCCCAGCAATCGCTCCCAACATATTCATATTTTAATACTAAAATGCCAATATAAAAGCGAGGGTATGATGTTATTAATGGTAGTGGTGGACACAGGAGCAGAACAGAACAATTGGTAACACATCAGCTTCTGACTATAAAGCACAGATTAAGGACTAAAGACAAGTACCACTGGCCTATATTTCATGTTCTGATTTGAGACACACCTGGGCCCTAGAAAATTGGCAATACTTCATGTCCTAAAAGTTTCTCTGGGATGGAGCATGGCTCAAGTGGTAGAGTATCTGTCTAGTGAGTTCAAAACCCAGTATTCCCAAATAAATTAAAAAGTAAACAAACAAATAAAAACAATTAAAAATGAAATATCTTTTAAAAAAGGTTTTTCTGTATTTGAACTCTCTTTCCTGACAATGCTGATTGTAAGTTTTACGACTCTCATTTGTCCTAACACTTTGGATAGCTCTGTAACTATTGGTTTATTTAAATAACCTTGATTTTTGAAGATAATAATGTACTCCACAAAGAACAAAGTCTTTTGGAGATTTTTTTAAATGTTGCAATTTCAAATATATCTGAACTTTTCCATCACAATGTTGCTTAATTTTCATTTCTTCTTTGAAATACTTAGCATTAGCTCATACTCATGAGAATATATTTGTATTTGTCTAGTACAGAAAACATGCTACCATGTGACATTGATATATTTAATGATGCTGAAGTGAACTTACAATCATATCGGCAGTGTCTCCTCATCTCTCATTGTTTTCCCTCCACCAGGAGACCTCTGCTTTGGAGTTAACTGGCATCACCTCTCATTCTTTTTTTTTTAAATTAATTTACTTTATTATTATAGAGGTGATGTACAGATCAGGTAATGAGCGTCTTCCATTCCCTCATTCTCTCCCAGTCCCTACCTCCCACCTCCACCCATGTGTTGTACAGTTCATGTTCATCAGTGTCCTGTGAGCTCCACTGCTGTACTTTTTTACCTTTTCACCCTTGAGATCTGTGCATCCTCCCACCCCCCCATGTTAATTGCCACTCTATTCACAATAGCCAAGATATGGAAACAGCCTAGATCCCCCAAAATAGATGAGAAGATAAAAAAACTGTGATTCTTGTATACAATGGAATTTTATATAGCCATTAAAAAGAATAAAATAATGCCATTTGCAGAGAAATGGTTGGAACTAGAACAAATCATGTTAAGTGAGGTAAGCTAAGATCAGAGAGATATATATCTCTGATATGCAGAAGTTAGATCTAAAATATACTTGGATTTGACAAATTATACAATTATACAATGAGACCAAAAGAGGATAGTCTTTAGAGGAGAAACACACAGGCTCAATGCCTAAGTGCCTCTTCATATTTATATAAAATAACACACATACTGTCATTCTTTACAGTGAATAACAATTACTGGAGCAATTAAGCTCCCTGAAAACTCTTCAGTGATTTAGGATGGAAACTTCACTAAAAGGCTTCACACGAAATCAAGGTGACTGTACCTCCTCTTTAGACTAAGAACACAACGAATTATGGGCACCTGGTATTGGATTATTTGGCCCCCATATATTATAGGAAACTATCTCATAGATTTGGATAACTTGCTTTACCTTCCTCATAATTGAGATAAATAAAAGTCCTGAATTTGCCTTCTATTATTAGTTAGAATAAACAAGTCTTGGAGAATTTGAGATCAAAAGCTCTGTGAGCCAAAAGGAACAAGTATTGTCTTTCTTTCATGTTTTAAACCCAACAACCATAAATCATCAAACATCAATCTGGGGTGTGTGTGTGTGTGTGTGTGTGTGTGTGTGTGTGTGTGTGTGTGTGTGTGTGTGTGTGTGTTTGCCAGTCTAGGTACTTGAACTCAGGGGTTGGGCACTGTCCCCTGAGCTTCTTTTGCACAAGGATAGCACGCTACCACTTCAGCTATAGCTCCACTTGCAGCCTTTTTTTTTTTTTTTTGATAGTTTATGAGGGATAAGAGTTGCATGGACTTTCTTGCCTAGTCTGGCTTTGAACTGAGAGCCTCAGATTGTAGCCTCCTGAGTAGCTAGGATTATAAGTATGAGCCACCAGTGCCTGGCTTAAAATTTTTGTTTTCAATTTTTCAAGTCTAAAGGCTCACATTAATTTTTGTCCATAATAATGGTAACTGCTGAGTCAAATGACTTACAAAGCCTCATCATTAAGAGTATGCTTGTCTACATAGATGCCACAAGATATTTAAATTCGATCAGTCTACTTCAAGGAAAAATATTGCTTGGTAGTAGACACAGATGTTATTTAAGACCAAGGAGGTTGGCCTTGAAATCTAAAGCATAGTGACTGTGCTTCAAGTTCTGATACCACACGTCTAACAGGCCTTCTCCCTGGATTTCCAAGGTAACACTGTATCATAGCAAGTGTTAGTTAAAGAGAAAGTCCTAAAAGAGCCAGCATGGGTAGAAAAGGCCATCTCTGTCAAAAGTGGTTCCCATTAGTTCCCAAGCCATGGGGAACCAGGAGTCTTTCCAGAATAATTGTCCTTGTAAGTCACTGGACTGTAGGGACTGCTAGACCACTGGTCACCCCAGCACTGAGGAAAATGAAGGTGCAAGCCCATTACTTCAGCACTAGTTCAGGAACCTGGACTTCAACAGATTCATGTTGCAAATAATCCTTGGTTTGATGAAAATATGTCTCTATTGAGTCCTATTGGAACCCATCTTGTTACTGATAATTCAAGTCTGGTGAATGATTAATCTGATACCTATTGTCAGATTTGTTCTTTAATGGGGAGTCGGTTTATTCAAAAGATTTTACATAGAGGTAATTGTGAAGCTATACCATTAACAGGGATGCAACTGTTGTTTGGTTAGACTATTTTTTGCTTGATCTAAGGATGATATCCTTGTTAACGGATGTCTAAGATGAGTGTCAAGTTTTGGTAGACAACTAAAATATTAGCCTGACACAACCAGAAAGCCATAGTTAGTTCCAATTGTCATACAGACTAAGAATGAAGTTAACTAGAGACTTTGGTCAGACAGTAAGTTCCTTCGAATAGCTTTTAATGGGATAGGAAGCAAAATGTTAAGATTTACTTAAGGCACTGAGACTTTTCAAGCTTTAATAATATGTTTGGAATCAAGAACAATTTCTTTAAGATGATGTAGAAAAGATATTATTTCTTAAGACAAGATTTTAAAAGATAATAATAATTAGCTAACAGTAATAACAAAGGCAAGCACTTTAGAATAAATAATAATGTGAGAGAAAAAATGGAATAGAGAATAGAACCAAGAGTTTGGAAGCAGAAGATACTTATTTGCTTTACTGTTCCGTTTACAAATACCTCCCCCAATCACTAGAAAGTAAAAGCTAAAAATTCTCTTACAGGTTAATTTGTCTTTTAAAAAGAAGCATTTATAATGTTAAATAGAATTCAAACACATGTTTATTTTACATTTCCTTTTCACTTTGTTCCTTTATTGATGCCTTTAGAAAATAGCAGAAGTAAAAATGAAGTAAGGATGGTATCTATATCATTTATGCAGATTTAGTTGATCTCTTTGGCCTTGAAAACATAGGAACATATGTTGGCCAGCATTTATAGAAAATCTGTGCCAAGTATATGAATAAATTAAAGGCAATATGAGATTGGACACCAAGTTGTAATTTTGGTGTACAGACACTTATTTAGGAAGAGCAAAAAAAATCTCTTAAGTATGGGTTTGTGCATGTAGTTGAGGAATAAAGACAAAGAAATATGAGATAGAAAATGAAAAAAGTGATCATTTAAATCTTCCCAGTAAATATGAGCAAAGACCAGTAAGACAGAGTATTTTTCTATCATATACATATCCTAAAATGACAAGATTTCCTAAAATGGAAACCCCCCAAATTCTTGGAAGTTGTTATTGTTTCGCAAATACAGAACATCCTGAGAATCTTTTCTTCATGTCTTACTTAGGTCTTAATTCCTCTACTGTAAAACTTCAAAAGATAATGATCCTTTGAGATGCAAATATTTTAAACACAAGGTATTCCTGTAAATTGTTATCAGATGTTCAAACAGTCATCAAGAAATAAATTACCCATTCACAACAAAATTTCAGTTAGCAAAGGTTGAATAGCTAAGGTGTCAGTAAGAGATCTACTTACATTAATAAGTTCCACTTCCCAGATTTTTTTCAATAGGTCCATCGACGTGTAGCCATTAATTAGAAAGGCTTTGGTGTAATCACCCAGCTCAATGGAATCCAGCCACTCAGCTACGGAGGTGGGATGATACCCATCATGGCCAATTGGTCTCATCTGTAATTAAGAAAATCATAATGAGGATTAATTTAAACTGTTTGCCTATGTTTCCCTAACAGAATGCTTTTATCTGAGCTGAAGTGATGGATATTTCTGGATGCAGAAATAAGGAAAAAGAAAATGCTGTATGCTCAATTTTAAATGATTAGTAATTTTCACGCTGAATTAGTTTTCAAAAATACACCCAGAAATTTCCAATTTAGCTGCTAAATTAACTCTGTATTTGAGGGAATGAAATATGTCAAACTTCTTCTACAGACCTTATTGACATTCTGTTGGATGGAATTTAAAACGATGTTAGTTGAGAGGTATTTGATGCTGAAGGTGCAAGGAAGTACATTTGTAATATAAAAATGATAACTCTCCTAGGTACATCATCAGTGCATGTGAAAATACTGCATGGCTTAAACATCCAAGGAGAATTCATGCTTATCGAGACATGCATTGTAGGTATGCAAACAAGCTGAGCAACACACTGCTGTGGTAAGCTGGTTAAAAAAAGAGGTTTTTGAGTGTTTTAAGACCACGTGTTTTGCATCAGCTCTACAGTATGTCAGACGTGAATAGAGAACTTGCTGGCAGACAGGCTCCTATATTTTGTCGGCTATATACAGGATTTTTTTTAATAGTTTAGGAGAACAAAGAAGTGTGACAGCGACATAATGTTTCTGAGTTTAAACTGGAATGTGAAAATAATTTAAGCAAGAGGAACTTCTGAGCTTAAAATTTTGCATGGATTTTTCTAGTCTTTTAACCTTTACTTGAAATTTCAGTTGGATTTGTGTTGGTCCTTGGTGTTTGAAGTGATTCACTTCTTAAACGTATGCTGCTTTTGCTTGCTGGACCTTAGATGGAGAGCTGCAGTGGGCAGGATGGACGCCCCTCAGCAACCTGGTAGCAGCCTGCATTAAAGTTCCTCATGGCAGCGCTGAACCAGAGCAACCGTGCAGCACAGACGTTCCTCTTCCTACAGCTTTAAGGAGATAAATGTTAATGGAAATCTATGTGTTTCTGACTTGTGAGCAAAGATTAGTCTGGGCATCAGACATTCAGATTGCAATCTTCAGGGTGTTAAGCTTTCTGTCAATGTGCAGAGCTCTCTCTCTCTCTCTGTCTCTCTCTCCTTACTTTTTTCATGTTAAAGTTACCTTTTCTCCTTTCCTCTTTTCCATTGTTCCACACCCCAGCCACATCTCCATGCTGAAGTAAAGTTACACTGCAATCCATTACTTGCACTGCAGTCTAAACTCCCTTCATATCGACAGTTCCACGTTAGCTATTAATTGAATCTTTGTCCACATGACAGTGTTTATTATGTAGTAGCTACAAATGTAAATGGTAACTTCAGGCTTTGCAAAATAAAGTTCAGTGGTATGCGCAAATAGCTGAGTGTTATGTATGTGTAAAATTTGAGATCAGAATCCCAAGTGGAGGCTCAAAAGTGTTCACTATCTTTATATTCTGTAGACAATCCTAGAAATATTTGCCAGGAGTTTTAGAGAAGTGGTTGAACTTTCCTACACACCCACCCCAGCCCAGGAGCCTGGCTGTCCCAGTGGACATAATAAATAGGTGGAGAAAGGGAAAGAAGGAAGAAAGAGAACACTGGAGTTGAAATGAACAGCCTAATAAGAAGTTCTTGTTGTTAGCCTACACAAGAAGTTGACCATCTGGGAATAGTCTTGGAGAGCTTTGATGAATTCATTTGACCCAGTCAGATGTACCTTCCCCGAAAATTGCAGTGGTACCCCAAGTACTTGTACATCTTTTCTTGAGAAAGCACTCAGTGGCCACCTGTCACTGAAATTTTTTTACTGGTTAGGGTTTAATGAAGGATCAGAAGCACCTAAGTAGACAGGAAAAAAAAACCTACTGAAATATAAACAAAGTTTGGTCATCCTTTGTTCTTCTTGTTGCAATACCAGAGAATTTGAAACTACCTACAAAGGAGACTGGGACCCATCCCTTGGGTAAAACCTAAACTTAGTGTAGGTCAGATGCCACAGTTGGAGGGGGAAGGGGATAAAGCTGGGAGTTAAACTGCATCCAAACTGAGTTTTCAGTACTTTACATAATGAGAAAGTTAATGGATATGTCTGAGATCAAATTAAGAAATAGCAAAGAGGAAGTTATCTGACTTTAGTTGAAGGCAGTGACTGGAAAAATAATTATATTAGTGTCTCACTGAACACAAACTGCTTAGTAATCTGGTTATACCTCGTAGACAAAACTAATCTTAAAGAAGTGATAGGGAAGGAGATATTTGGCAGGAGGGTGAAAAATAGAAAAGGTTGGTATGCAAGGTGAAACAGGTGTGCAGATTTGTGCAGGGAAGTATCCATTCATCTGCGTGCTCAATACTTATTCAGTGTCTATTCTGATGAATGTTGGGGAAACAGTAGGGAACGGAAGAATCAGTTTCCCCTTACATGGAAGTTATAACTCTTAATTAAAACTGTGTGAACAGATGACCAATAAATTTACGAAGGCTCTGCATACCTGAGGAGAGGAAACCATTAGAGCCAAATGAAGTTACAAAATTAACTTGACACATATTTAATGATATGCAGAATGGTTACTGTGCTGCACAATAATTTCTTCCAAAGCAACTCTCCCATCTGTTCCTTTATTTCTGTTCCTACTGCCACTACCCTGTTTAGGTTCTTGTTAGCACTTGCAAAAGCTAATGCAAAAACCTTCCACTTGGCCTCCCACCTTTCCTTTAGCTTACATTTTGTTACTATATTAATCCTCCTAAAACCCAGCCTCTTTTAAGTCTCCTCAACTGAAAGTATATTAATCTCTCATAACTCTGCTATTTGCACCCCCAAGAAATGTGATTAGATCCACGTGTGTACCTGAACAGTCATTAAATTGCTAACCACTCCTCAACAAAAAAACTGTGCAAGGCCAACGTGTATCTGTGCTAATACAATTTTTCTGTGTTTGTAATGCTTTGACTTTTATTTCTGGACTTATTTGTCAGGGACTGATTTCTCATTGTGAGTGTTTAGATACAAATTCCAATAGTTTTTTAGAACACCCTACAGATATCATCAACATAAGTAAAACAAACAAACATCTCTAGCTTGAAAGCTGGTTCTCTCAGTGTCTGTTTTCTTCACTGGTCCATGTACCTCCACCACTTGGCGAAGAAATAAGGTATAGTCATATTTTTTTAAATTAGTGGAGCTGGGGATCAAACTCCTGACCTTATGCATGCAAAGGAAATACAGTTACACTGGGCTATACCCAAGCCCTGTATAGCTGGTTTTATAGTTCCTAATGAGTCCATACAGAAAAGTATAATATATATATATATAATATATATTATATATATATAATGTGTGTATGTGTGTATATATTATACACACATGTCTGTCTGTCTGTCTGTCTGTTATTCTTATGTTAGTCCTCTAAGGCTAACAACTACTGGGTAGTAAGAAAGAAGTAGACTTATGGAGAAATGCTAAATTTCACCTAAAGCTTGGAGTGAAATTTGGAGCTCAACAGAGTCCAGTTGGAGTTATCTGAATCACAACTGTTGCAAGTCTCATGAGTAAGAAAAATACACAGTATTTTTTGTTTTCATTGCTGTAAATCACCACATTTTTGGCATATAAGAAAAACTGAATAGAGTTCTTCCTTCTTTCGAAATCTTGGGAGAATGTCCCTGAAAAAACAAGGTTATTAGTCACTGCTGTGTTCCCTCAGGTCCAGCAGAGCCTCTCATGCACAGTCTGTATTTTCTAAATGTTTATTAAGCTATTTAATGAAAACGTGAAGATAAAATGACAAACATTTCAGTGGCTTGATCTCCATTATGTTATGTTTGTTATTATCTGTATTTAAGACTCCATGTTATAAAAAAAATTAGAGTTATTTTATGGCCCAACAGTAGCATATGTAACATTTAAAACTTCCCTATACCAAGAAGCTAGGTATTATTCTTTTTCCAGGTAGCAGGAGTCTTCAAATGATAGGTATTACCAATGCAATGGGCTTGTTTTATAATCCAGAAGTCTCGATAGTGTTGGCTATATAAGCAAGGGAAAATTGCTTCACCTTTTCTAGGTTTCAGTTGTTGCCAGCTTTAAAGTGATGCTTTTGGACAAATGAGTTCAAAGCTCTTTTACATAGTCATCCCTATGTTTTCCAATACCATGATTTGCAAATTTATTTGAAATTAGAATCTGATTTATTGATACAATAAAGAAAAACAATAAGCCTAATGACCAAACAGAAAGAGGACACATAGACTAAAGTTCAGACTGTCTCCGTATCTCTTTCTGTAACTTCTCAGCAGCACCTATAGGTAATACTGTAACTGTTTTCTCAAGCTAGCGGGAGTATCTGGCAAGACAGGGCTAAGAAGAGGTAGTTCCTGAGCCGCCAGGCCTGTGGTACTGTGGAGGAGCCAGGCACACTCTGTGATCTGAGAGACGTAGGATAGGCAGACAGAGGTATTCCTAACAGACGTTCACACATCTGTCCAACTAGAGATGAGACACATGAGATTTTATTTCCTGGTTGCGGTTATGAGAATATGAGCCTAGAGCTATTAATGAAAACTTAGCAGGTAACTTAGCTCTGGATGGTCTCCTCTCATCCCCTCCCCTCCTCTTATCTCTTTCCCTCCCTTCCCTCCCTCTTCCTTGCTTTCTGGCTTCCCATGGGCCTGGAATGTCAGAGCCTGCAGTCCATCTCTGACTATCCAGACAAAATGATGCCCCACTGAGATGCCTCTTGAAACTTCATCACGCACAAATCTCATGGTGGAATATTGTTAGCATCTGATGGCAATTTAGTAAGCTTGAAAGAATATCTGATATTCTGCATTTCTAGGAAACTTACTGATGATGCTAATGCTATCAGTCCAGGGACCACTTTGAGTAGCAATGAGTTAGAAGATGACAGACAGACAGAGAGCGAAGACCTTGGATCCTTTCAGAATTGCAGAGAGTACAGTCAACTGGTAAACCTGGGTTGCTCAGTTC